CTAGGCCTGTGCCTACTAGTAAAGTATTTTGTAAAAAAATGTTTATGACTTTATTCTTTATTTTTATACTTTATTGTGACTGAAACATGGCACAGCACACAAATGTCTGAAGGTTTCTTTGGCAGTCGGCTTAAATTTAAAAATTGCATGAATAATAAATAAAAGTAATTTATGTTTATGGTTTAAAAATGTTCCTTTGCCCCTTATATACCTTTTTTTTTATTATAATTATAGTTTATTTAGTCTGTGGAATGTTAACCTTCTACAATCTAGAACTAGATGATGTAAATGTATGAGTATGGCCATTGCTTGGGCTTCCTACTTTTAATTCCAACTAAATTTATACTGTTTAATTTATTTTGTATTTTCTCCCAATTAAGCCTATAAATATAGGCTAATAGATAAGATTCTTTATTGATCGTAATAAATCGAAATATGTTTTTATTACATTTACTTTGCTTGCACTTGCTTGTTCATGGTCATGATCAGCGCATCGATGAATATTCTTACGAAGGCCACAGATACTGTAACGAGGCATCTAAAGTGTTACTAAGCGCAAAAATCAGCGGTCATATACCATAAATATCTGCAGGACATGAAAGATACTTTTATTCGACATCCTTGTATTACAACTGTATTGTAGATGAATAGTAGGGGTGTGCCGGATCCGTTTTTTCCAACCGGATCCGGATCCGGATTTTCTTATGCGAAATCCGCCGGATCCGGATTCCGGTTTCTCCCGGATTCCGGATTTTGGTACTATTGGTAGATACTTCGGTAAGTCAAGGTGGACTACTACTTTTTGTGTATGGGAATTCGCAATCGGCGCCAAAAAATCCGAGTTTTTAATTTTCCGATGTGTGTGTCTATTTATTATTAAATTAGTACTTTCGATATATATTTGAGTTCCGTTCCATTTGGATAAGTGTCTTACGAGAGACGCCATGTTTCTACGCGTTCGCAGCAGGTCATGCAGCTCGCTCAACCTAATTTCGCCATGGGGTTGGCCACGCCCCCCTTTTTAATGGCGGAAGTTGACGATACTTAGGAAATATTAATTTATTATCACTATTTACATCAAAATAATTGATAACTTGTGTTTCAGAATGCATTTAAAGACATTTAAACTGGAATGTTTTAATTTGAGCTTTAACAACCCGGTAGAATCCATATTATAAATGATCAGAATTTACCGTGTGCAACACGTTGTCATTGGCAACCATTCACAGCCACTTGCATAACTGTATCGTAGTACTACCTCAGAGTTTCATTCATAAGAGTTTGCCGTGTGCAAAAACTATTAAACCATTGGTCAGGGAAAGCTTTAATTAATTATTCATGTGCCAAAGTTGAAAGTTTAAACTAAGTCTAAACAGTATTTTAGTGATAAGGCAGGGAATGCGTTGCCTTATATAAACTATATAGTCATTGCGCATGACGGGATTGGTGGAATGAGATCACAGAATGTGGAGATGCAGTCCATGTTAAAAAATGACAAACCAAGTCGTACTTTAAAAATTCATAACTTTAAAACTACAACAGCTAAAAATATGATTTTGGTGTTATAATTCTTTAAAAAATTACATCTTTTCAACTATGCCATTGGTTTATTTTTACAAAAAGTTTAAATTTTCTTATCAAAGTCCCTACACTATTGGCCACTATTAGCGGTGCTGACTCTAGCCTCTGGTATGTACGGAATATTAAACATTAAACAAGCTCAACGCTCGAAACAATCGATTAATGTATCGTGATCGTGTGGAATTCGGGAAAGAGAATTACTTTTATTTCAGATTATGATCCGGTGAGTCACAAAATCTGGCAAATTCCGAAATCCGGTATATTCCGGATTCCGGAATCCGGTTGTTCCGGATACATGTAAATCCGGCGGAACCGGATCTCACCGGATAGTGCAAAATCCGGCGGAACCGGATTCCGGATCGGAATCCGGCACACCCCTAATGAATAGCTTTTAATTAACACTGAAAACCGTTTTGTCAGTGTTGGCCGTTGCTCCTCTCAATCATAAAACAAATAAAAATACAGGAAATATTGATTTTTTTCAGTTTTAAAATAGTTTTAAAATTTTTGAAACGTTTTTTTCGATTGTATGTAAATTATCTATAAACATATTTGTTTCTGTCTAAGGTGGAAAGGCATTGAAATAGAATCTTGGGCTTAGTAAAAGGGAGTCCAGTTCTAATGATGGCGGATAATAAATGGTTAGATATGTTTCCTTTGGCATGCCGGTCCCTGCTAGCCGAAACTCTGCATTGTCAAGATACCTTAAATGCAGCTATGGAAGAAATAACTCCCCATTTTACATGGCTGGATGAGATTGTAACTGAAACTTGTGCAATGTTTGCTGTAAACAGGTAGGAATTAAAATAAGATAATATTAATATAAAAGAAGAACCATATGGTAGGTACTACACTAAAAATTTCAAAGTTGTTATATATTAATGAAACTTATATCATTAGAAAGGACTCAGTATTTCCTTTCCATTGATACCTATTTTATCTTTCTATCTTAAGTAGAACAAAAGTTATCACATTTTTAGTGTCAGAATTTTTCCTTATATAGCCTTAGTAAATATTTTCCAAAATTCTGTGACCGAAAAAAGACATCATATGGTGACATGTTTTTATGTTATTTTTTTTAAAAAGGCTGATTTTTTTTTTGGTCCAGCTATTATGCTCAGTTCAGATTCTTGTTACCTCTGGCATAATGATTTTTATGAAATTTAATATTGAATATATCTATCCTTTTTCTATACTGGTAAACAGCAAAATGTATTTTAAATAAATCATCAGAATTTTAAAAGTTTACTTGTCATGATATTTTTCATAAAACAGGTTTCTGAAACGTAAGTCTTTTTCATTCTTGAAAAAAAGAACTATTTTCAGAGCTAAATACAGACATTTCACACTTGACTGATTTTTAAGCCTGTTTGAAATATACCTACATTTTATTTTGAAAGCTAATAAATTATGATTAATCCCTTCCAGTTTCAACTATCAATCTTATCACCTCAGTCTTAAAAATTATTTCTTTAGTAAAATTTTAGCACTAATAAGTCTCAGCATCTTTTCTTTTGGAATTCATTTTATTAAGAACCTTTTTAAAAAGTTTCTTCAGAAAATGACATGTTTGCACTTGATGACAGCCTCGTTTCACTTTCAGTTGTCACTGCAACTGCAAGCTTCTAGTTTCAGTTCTAGTCATCAAATTTGAGGATGCTCCTGACTGTAAATTAGAATTCTTTCATAATTTATGAAATGAATTATCCTCTCTAATTGCTACTTCTTCATCTGCAAATTTCTAAGTCTAAGTATCTGCTAATGTCCAAGTTGTCTAAGAGCCCGTTAAGATCACACAATTTTATTTTGTTAAGTAATGCTCCAAATTCAAAGCTCAAAATAAAGCCCTGTAAAGTTAAATTATAAGTGAAATTATGCGGTCTTTAAAATGTTCCTTTGAGAAGCAATGAATATCTTGTAACCAAAATTCCACAAATAACTTTAACAGAAAGTTGTGGAAGAAAATAGTAAAGACATCCCAAAATTACAAGAGGCATTTTGAGCATTTGATACTTTTCCAAAAGAATTTAAAAATAGGATATGCATTTCACATGCTTCTTGGTTGTTCATTGTAATGCAAGGTTAAACTGACATTTAATATTTTTTTTAAAATCTCGTTATTTTTTTATGAAGTGAAACATTAAAGCAACTTATTAATCATTGTAATTTTGGATTTGCGGTGTAGATTGTTTTTATTATCCAGCTCCTTACAAAAAGACCCTGCTTGTGCTCCATTTGACAAACTTATTTTTAAAAATATTAATGTAATTCCTATATTCCAGATAAAAATATTAAAGTAATTCCTATATTCCAGACAAAACTTGCAGCTAATGCCTAAAACACCTTGTCAGAAAATGCCAAGAAAATTAAGAAAGAGAAAGATTGAGACAGTGGATGAAGATAAAGAAAACAGTGAAGTGCTCGTGGTCCTTAAGGCGATTCCCACTAAACTAAAATTTGAAATAGACAGGTAAGAATATTATTAAGAAAGAGTTGGTCTCATTAAATTATAGTATACTCAAGAAATAATCCATATTTTTATCAATGGAGTCTGGGACATACCTAATTTTTGGCAAATTTGATAACATCACATAAAAGATGTAATATTTTTTTCAAACTATCTATATTTACTTATAATATCCAAAGAGGATTTCCAGTGGTCCATTTACTAATTAGTCTGGATTAAACATTAACCGCCTGTTGGCAAATTAATCTATGCAATTCTATTCTAAAGTAAATGTTCATATTTTCAGTCATAAATATTCATTATAATATTTTTATTATCAGAATTTTCCAAGTATTATTAGTGGGATAATGCTGAAAAATAGATCACATAATTCCACATTAATATTTGGGGGAGGGGGGGGGAGGGCTTACTTGGAACAAACTGAAAAATTTGTACTGTTTGTCCACTTAAGCTAGAAGGTGATCACAGTGTTTTTGTAAAGATTCAATTGACTTTATACCACTGTATAGTTTAAATTTTATTACTGTTTGCAATTTCAATTACAGTGCCAACATTAAATCAGTACATCTTTTAAGCTATTAAATCCCCCTTTTTAAAAATCGATACACATCTTTGCTAACATTTGGATTTTTGTTCTTTTCCTTTTTTCTTGTTCCCTGGTCTTTGTGGAAAAAGGACATCTTTTAATGCCTGTTGTATTTTTTAAAAGTTATAAAATATGTTTAAGTATTACAATTTAAGCCCATGAGTAGTTCTAGTACAATAACAGCATGAGCCTGTATCTAGTGTTTGAAGCAATGAAACTATTTCGAGAGACCTTTAAGCATGAAAACCCATGACAATTTCTAGTAAAAATAATTACTGTTTTAACCATATTAACTTACTTTTTCCAACAGCCATGATAGTGTAGCTGAGAACATTACGAAGACAGCAGATGAAAATACTTCTGATGGGAAAACTGAAATTGTGGCCGCTAAAGGCAGACCTCTGCGTAGCTGTAGAATAGGTGCTAACCCTGTTTATGCAGATGAATCACCAAAAACCAAACGACAGTCAAGGAAGCCACTCACAAAGAATACGCTGCCTGTAAAAAAGCAGGAAATCAGCCCTAGTGTTCGAGATCGGGCCTCAGCCTATGAATCTATGATCAAACAAAGCACTAGTAAAAGTCCTGTCAAAGCGTCACGTACCGGAACTAGTGGAAATGTTGGTAAAGTGACACCAGTTGTAGTAATGAATGATAATTCTAAAAAGAGTATTGTGGACAGAAACTCAGCATTACAAGGTTTAAACTTAAAAAATTCCCCCACGCCAGCAAGGGAAAATGATCATGCAGTTCAGAAAGAAAATATTATCAGCAAGACAGTAAGTATTGCTTCTTATCAATTTTGGCATTTTGTAAAAATAAAACAAGTGCCTGCATGTTTGCAATCTTTAAAAAGAAAATTTAAATAATAAAGAATGATGGAATCTCTAAATTTGACACATGTATCCACTATTTGGCTGGTAAGTGAATGTTTTAAGTTAAGAAAGAGATTAGATGCTTTATATACCATACAATCCACATCAGTTGTGGGGTTCGACAAATCAGTGATTGTGATAAATATACCCGTAATCCAACTCATTGTCAAGGGTATGAGAATCACTGTTGTTAGTATGAACGCTGTGGGTCCGTGAGTTGTTTGTATCATGGGTGTTAATATTGTGTCTGAATGATCATTGGACGACAGGAATAGAATAATAAACAAGTGTGTGGATATAAGGCGTGAGATAGGGAGTGTGAAAGTGAGAGAGTTGATATAGTCATGAGACGTTCGAGAGTGATAGCTGCTATGTTATAGATTGACTGTAAAGTACTTATGAGGTACTGTTACCTGGGGAATCTGCATGACAGATATACATTATTCAGAAAACCCTAGTCATTCATTAAGTATTTGTGTTCCAATATTTGATGTGCCCGGGTATACATTGATGAAAAGTGCTGCATACTACCATAGACAAACGTTGCTAGAAAATACTCAAAGATTCTCCACTAGAGTAATAGAGTACTTTAACACTCTGTTAGTATTATATAGTGATTTGTTTTTGAAGTTGTAGCTCTCCAATTTTTATTCAGACTCTTGTAATCTGACAAGATTTCCAATTGACACTTCCCTGTCCAAAGCACATTAAATTGCAGAGGCATAATTATAAAAACTGCTAAATGGCTTTTTATTGTTAATATCAGTTTTAATTAGAAATAATTATAACATAGGTATTATCAGCATTAATTTGAAGAAAACTTGTTTTAATATGTAAACCTGATATAAAAATGTTAATGTGTTTCACAGCTCACAGAAGTAGTTGAACCCAAACAGGGTAGAACGCGGTTACGATTGAAAAAGAATAAAGAGGTGGGGATTTCTTGATAATAATAAAAATCATATTAAGTATAACTTAGTAGCAGTAATTTGAGTTATGTATATATTTTTTTTTTTTAATTACTTCAAAAATAATTGCTTGCTTTGGGATTTAAGTTTTTAAATAATTGTGTTGAGGGGTTTTCTGTTTTGAAACTGTGACCTATGTCTGTTTATAAAAATTATAAATCAAAATCTGGTCTAATGTTCTTTGGAGACTGTTAAACCCAAGCAACATATCTACTAATACTAAGTGCTATTATCATGCTATTTAGAGCTTAAGTTGTACAAAGAAATAAAAAGAAATGCAAGTTAATTGTTTTTACTTGATTGCCCTTGGAATGTTTAAAATTTAGTTTAGGGGAAAGAAATGTTAAGTTAATGTAAGATAACTTTTTAAAAATTTCATCGCCTGCATTATTAGGAAATAAATTATTGTTTTTTTCTGTCTTTCATTTATTATAGCCTGAAGAAGAAGTCATCCGAACAGAGACTGATTTTGTCCTTGCTGATAACAGCAGTATTGTTAAGAAACACCTCCATGTCAAACAAAGTCCAAAACAAGAAACAATCACCGCTTCACTTGATGAGACACAAATTGTTGTCACTGAAGTTTTTGAAATTCAAAGCAATGACAAACCAGCAAGGCTGAAAGATTATGAGATGACGAAGGTGAAAACTACACCTGTATTGCTACAGTCTCATATCAAAAATGCTGTTCCTGACTGCAGGAGTGAAAACCTGACAAAATCTAAGTTAGTTTGTGATAAAGATTCTAAGGATCAACACATTAGGGAACCTAACAACAACAAAAAAGCTATTCTAGATGAAACTCAGATTGTAGTCACAGAAGTGTATGAACTTTTTGACAGCAAAACTGAGCCAACCCGTCTTAAAGAGTTTGAGATGGTTAAAGTAAAGACAATGCCCATAAATGACATAGTGCAATCACAGACGCACTATCCTGTAACTAAAAACAATATTGATCCTACTGGCTCTTCTAGTGATCAGGGTTTTAATGATGAAGAAAGTTCCTGTGAAAGTGATGGGGCTAAGTTAAATATGAAAAATGATGAGACATTTAGTAAAGATGAGTCTAATGTAGATAGTGAAACAGGCAGAACAACCAGAACTCGAACAAGAGCTCAGCAAGAAAAACAAAAGGCCAGCAGCTTAACCAGTGCTGCCAAGTCGAACAAGGACTCTGGTGTTGATGCTGGCACTGTCGAGGCTTGTATGAATCTTAATTCTACTTTCACTAGGGACGAAGGGGCCTCATCAGAACTAGAAGGTAGAACAACAAGAACACGTGCACGATTGCTTAAGGAGTCAAGTGTTAGTGAAGTTTCTATGGAATCAACTGGTCCGAGCACACGCACAAGACAAGCCAAACAGGCTGCTGAATCAGCTTCTAAGGCCAGTCTACCTGCAAATGCTGATAAAAATGAAAAGGATGCAAGAAGTCCCAGGTTGGCTTTTGAACATTTTTTTATTTAAATTTACATTTTTAATTCTAGTTTAAAAGGGTTTGATACTTTTATGTCGCTGGTTTTCAACAGTTGTGCCACCAAGATTCTCAAAAGATTTCTGCAAAATAATTTTTTTGTTACTTTGAGCTGAAGTGCTGTGCCTTTTAATAAAAACGTCTTTTATTATTTGCTTATGCTGCTCACTACATATTCTAACTTCCGCTAAATTATTTTCCCTTATAACTTGAGTTGGTGCAGAGAAAAATATTATCTAGCTCTTAATAAATGTGTAGTTTTTCAGGAAGATGATACAGAGCAAACTGCAAAAGACCTCTAAATTTTTTATTTTAAAAAAAGCAAACATTTTTGCTAGGTATTAAAGCAACTGTTTCATTAAGGTATTAAACTGAATAATACAACTAAAGTGCATACTTCTCCATACAGTTCAAAATTTCCTTCAAACTGTAATAAAAAGAGAACATTATGAGATATTTGATATATGAAATATAAAGTTTGGCTTCGTGAAACCATTTCATAGCTTTCTGTCTGCACTTTCATATGGTAAACAGCACCGCCTCTTCATTAAACTCCAGTGTTTTTTGTTTTTTTTTTGCATTTTCCTTCAAGATTGTTTCAGTAGTAAAAGGGCTCTAGCTGCTTGCCCAAACCTCTTATTCTGACTAGAGACATGCAGATGTGGAGTTGTAAATTTTATAGGTTGTGATTTAATTACGTTTTGCTCCATGTTAATGTTTTTTTTTCTTTTATATAAGACCAGGCAAAAAGAGACCTGTTGAAGAAAGAGGTCTATCACCATGTCCAAAGCGATCTCGGTCATATGGAATTAAACATGTAAGGTTTATTTTCTATCTTCTCAAATAGCCCTTTATATTAAACAAGCTTTTTATATATATGTTACTATAAGTTTTGATAGCTGTTGAAAAATAATATTTTTACTTTATTTGTAGCATCTTCCATTGACTACATCATCACCGAAAAAAAATAAAGGTGAGGGTATTTAAATTTTACACCATTGTTGCCACAACAATTGTATTTCAATTATCTATTAATTTTATTAATATAGCATCCATTTAAAACATGGACTAATTTTTTTTTAAACTCATAAAATTGCTCCTAATTACCCTGCCAGTTAATTGATTTTTATAACTGATTACTTTTTTTTAAAAAAGGAATCTATTTCGTGTGCGTCTGAGCCTATTCATACTTTCAAGCTAATACATATATAGCAGACCTGTTTACTCTTACGATTGTGGCTTACAATGTACGATTTTGAGGTGTATAGATTGTATGTACTGTATGTTTTTTTAACTATAAATATAACATATTGAACGATTTTGTGATGATATTGTACGATTTTAAGAGTTTGAGGGTAAACAGGTCTGATATAGCTAAAGGTGTAACTTAACAGTTCTCATCTAAAATGAATGTCATTTTTAAAAAACTATATGTTGATTCTAAGTTTTTATCAAGCCATTCACATACAAAACAAAATAGGGACCTTATTCTTGTTTTGTTTTAAATAATTTGCAAAGAATTGGAAATAAAAATTATGAATTTTTGCATTTAACATAACACTGATCCTATTAGGCAAAGATACATTTCCACTTTTTTGCATTCCTCACATTCAGGTATTGGAACAAGTTTAGCCTCAAGAATAAGTAGGGATGCTCTTATGTCACCTAGAAGAGTAAGTGAACATTCTTATAATGTTTAGAATTCTGTAGAACAACAAATTTTTATTTTATTTTTTCTTATTTATCGTTTTTCTCTCAATTTAACCATAAAATTGCATATTTAACTACTTCAAATTTTTTTAAAATAATTTATTTTATGTCCATTCATGTGCTTCTTTTTATTCTGTTAATGTGTTATATCATTTGTGAACAGAGAACCAAAAGAGAATTTTTATTTAAACAATTATAATTTACGAAGCTCATTTTTTTTCAGACCCCACAAAGGGAATTTAAGTTAACCATATCCCATTTATGACGCTCATGATTTTTCAGAGCCCAAGAGCTTTTAAGTTTAGTAGTGCTCAGAGAAAACCTTCAGGGTTCCTAAACAGAACTCCAGGCTTCAGTATGAATACCAGCAGACTATACAGTTTCTTAAATACCACCCCTAATTGTTCATCTAACAACACAGTTGTGACGTCATTCCTCAAAAGGAATACTCCACCCACTAAACAGAACATACATGTAAGTCAGATTTTGTTTATTTGATTAAATATTGTAGAAGTAGTACTGCTTTAAATATTTTTCTCATTTATGAATGCTAATACTGTCAAATCAAGTACTAAATAAAATGAGTAAAACAGAATAGGGTTAAACCTGAAAAAATAAACGCAACAAAACAGCAAACGTGTCGGCAGAAAGCCTTCGTCAGCGAACAAAACAACAGAAAAAAACGGTATAAAAATAAGAAATAGCACTTAGCTGGTAAGTAGTATCTGTGGGCAGCAATAGAAGTGTGGCAGAAGGAAAGTGAGTGAGAGTTTAAATATGCAGCAGCGAAAAAAAGGGGGAGAAAAAAGTTCACTATTATTGGTCAGAACGTGGCTGGGCGGAGCTAGGGTTAAGCTGTGAACAGAGACATAACATTAATCCCATCTGGCGTCAAAGTGCCGTAAGTCAGGATAAGTCTGTGTTCCAAAGTGACCCGGCTGGCGGTGTTTGTGCTAGCCACAATCGCACTTATTGAAAAGTCTGCCTTGCCCTGGTGGTTGCTACTATTGAAGTGTTTGGAGACGGGACACTGTTTATCTTGTGTAATGTTTCGGTACACCTGTCTGAGAGACGGCGTCCAGTCTCCCCTATGTACGTCATCTGACAGCGGGTGCTGACAATGGCGTAGATAACGTTGCGGCTCGTACAGAGGAAACCGTTGCGTATCTGAAAACTGCCCTAAGGGAAACGTATGTGTTGAGTCTCAACCTGATTGCAGTCTCTCCCCTTATTACCCCAAATCAAGTACTAGTATTATCTAATTTATTTCATAAATTTTTAAAAAAATAACCAATTGGTTAGGAATCTCATATTTTTATACACACTGGAATAATTTGTGTAATTCATTTATAGACAGAAAAATAACCACAGAATAAGCAAAAACAAAACCACATATTTTTTATTGAAATCATGAAATTTTCACTACAATTAGTGAAATTAAAGAAATAAAATAATATTCGACCCCCAGGTTATCATCTGATGTGGTAATTTCTGGGACATTAACAGCATTTAAGGCTATTGTTTTTTATTTTTAAGGGGGGGGGGGGGCTTAACATCACCAAGTAGTAATTAAAATATGATGCCAAGAAAAAATAAGCCTATTCTATACCAGGTTTTGATCGTTAAACAAAGAGTCGTGAAGGAGGCAACTTGATATTGCATTTTCAACAGGTGTGGATTTTTTTTTTTTAAATTTAGTTTCATTTTATTGTTTCTAGGCCATTCAAGAACAAAAGAAATCAAGAATGATTGAAAAAGAGAATCGTGATAGGGAGAGACTAAAGAAAGCTGCTGAGCTAAAACAGCGAAGGATAGAAGAACTTAAAAGGTAGGTTTATTTACTGAAACTATGTATATGTTGTTCTTTATATTATTTTAAGTCCTATAAATACAACTTTTCAATATTAACAAATCTTTGGGTAGTCTGCAGAATATCCAAATCACTTTATAACAGAGTTAGGAATTTGAGCTGATATTCCATCACTATGATGTATTTGAAAAAAAAAATTATTTTAACATACAAGCTTAGATACATGATACATTTTTTCAACTTATGGAGCTGGGGCACCCTTTTGTGTGTGATTATATTTATTTAATGCTATATTCTATAAATTACAAGTTGGGTACGCTTAGTTTTTAAAATAATCTTTCATTGTCATTCTTAAAAAATTAACCCTAAATACCACAATTGTACATTTTCTCAAATTAAAAAGATGAACAAAGCTATAAATACATTTTGATGGAATAAAAAAAGGGGTTAAAACAAGAGCAATTCAGATAGATATAAATGAACCTAAATTTTTTATTTCAGATAACAATTTGGAAAATAAAATATTGTTAAGAAGTTCTTATAAATAGTCAAAGTATATTAAAATTGTATTTTAATTGTTTTGGAAGGGATTCAATTGTATATTAAGGGGAGGAGGGGTTATGAAAAAAGCATATTTATATTTTTCTATTGTAAATGCCAGGGGCTCTCGAACTTGAAGGATTTGTTACGGTACTATTTAAAAACATGAACATAATTTAAAATTTGACCTCGATGTCTGTATTTATTTTGGATTAATTACCTAAGTAATGTACCACTTGAACAGTTAGAGAATCAATGCTTATTAAAAAATAAACAAAAATTGTATTTATAGGCAAAGAGAAGAGAAGGAGCGTAGGGTTGCAGAAGTGCGAGAGCAGAAAAATCGTATTGAACAAGAGCAGAAGGATAAGATGACTAAGAAATTTGAGGATCAGTATTTACAGACAGAAAAATTATTAGAGGCACGGCTCAAGGAAGAAAAAGAGAGACAAAAACTCAGGTAAGCCTTTTTGTATCAAAAGAGAAAACATATAATCATTCATATTTAAGGCTTATAGAAAGATGTCTAGCAAACATGTCTTTTGTCATGTAATAGAGATGTACTTTTTTAAGTAATGGGACAATGTATCGGAATAATTGAAATATCAGGATTTTTTCCAAAGCATCGGGAATCGGTATCGGAGCTGAATAATTCAGACCCGATTCCGAAACCAAAACAATTCTTAACTGATAAACTGCCGTAAGCCGGTGAACTCAATACTACAATGTAGTAATTATAATTAATATTTTATTTTTTGTTTTTTGGAATTAAACAATAATTATAATAATTAAACCTTTTCTCAAAAAAGTTATATAAAATGTTATTTTGTGAAGGGAAACTTTTTCCTATTTTGTATGTACATGAATAATAATTTCATGTGTATATTTAATACAGAGTTTTTATATACACATTTTGAAATTTTTATCAAAGACACTAGCTACATCTTTGTATTATTAAAATGGAATTATTGATAGATGTGTATATATAAAACCTTTCCAAGACATTGCTATCTAGCATATAGTAAAGCTTCAATAGCAAGTTAATAAACTTTTCTAATCAATTCTCAACTTTTATATTAATTAAATATGTTAATACCTGGGCACAGTAATACATATATGTAATAATGGCAAGGAATCATATCGGGATAATTGGGTAGAATCGGAATCGTTTAAAATTTTGGTATCGTCCCATCACTAGTACTTTTATTATTGTTGAAAATAGATGATGAAGCTTACCAAGTAATGACCACAATTTCTTTTAGCAGTGTCTATAACTGAATGTGATCCGGTAGATTCTTTCTAATTAGAGACCCACCGATATTGATTTTCTGATTTCGGCCGAAACCCAAATCAAAAGTTTTATGAGACCTTTTTTAAGATATTTTGCAATTCATTTACGCACACATTCCACAATATTGAAAAATGATGGTGGAACTCTTCCACTAAACCATACATTTTTGTTGACACATGCTTTCTTATTGGCTGACCTATAATGTTTCGTTTGTCTGCAATTATTATTTATCGGCTAATTTTATATTTGATCCAGGTCAAACAAAAGTCTAACTAAGTTTAGTATGATAATACTGTAGCAGAAGCGGTTACGCTGGAACTCTCAATACAGTACAATATAGTCTTAGAATAGTACTTTACCATCTCAAAATCTTACAGTACCGTATTGTAACAGTGAAGGAATAAACATAAAATATAATGTATACAATAACTATTCACATCGCATATCAAATTCATGTCACTTCTTAAAGTAGAAGACTGACGTTTATATACAGTGCATTATTGCAAATAAAAATGTACACTTCCTTTGCCACTTTGATAGAAGAAGATGTGGTGCAGTAGTGGAAATTGAGAACGCCCTCCGAAGTCAGCCTAACAAAAGTAGGGATGGGGTTTGTTGAGGAGGCTGGACACACACACCCACCTTCATTTTTTTAAATTCAAAACGCCGGTTACACTGTTGTGTATACCTTAATATAATTTTGTATCATTGTAGAATTGCTCGATCAGCCTCTATTTCTAATTATCATTTTTCAAAACTCAAAAAGATAAAGATATTGTGGCCTACTGCTCAGATGTTACTGGAATAAAACTTTAAAAATATTTTGTGTCATGTATTTCAACTTCTTACTAGGCTAAAAAAGCAAATGGAAGCTGATGCAAGGAGGAAGCAGGAAGAAGAAGAAAGGCAAAAACGATTTTTGGAACAGGTTAGTATCAATTTTGTCATTTCTGCTTTGTGTCTGGGACTGCTTTAAACCTGAATATATACTTTTAAGAAACAAACTGGTGTTTAGAAAATCAGCTTCAAGGTCATTTGAGTATTTTTAATAGACAGGTGAAGTAACACTAACTGAAGGAGCAAACGATCTAAAATTTAATAATAAGCTTTGGGGTTGTCCAAAACTATGTGGTGCGCGACATGGGAAGTGGGTAACAACATATTGTATTGTATTTTCATCATAAAATAATCTGTTTGTTTGAAAATGTAGGGCCAACCCACTCTTCCTGAAAATACAAACTTTGCACCCATAAAAATGACTAAATTTCTCTTTTTCGTTTTATCAATAAATTTTACCTTTTTATTATGACTATCTAAATTATTTTTAAAATTAAAAATGTTACATTTTCAGGAAAAAGAGCGTTTAAAGCGGCAAGAAGAAGAAGCCAAGCGCCTTGCTGAACAAGAGGCACTAAAACAGGAGTTCCAGAAAATGATTAATAAACACAATAGTAGTATAACCCATTCAAAGCCACCACCACCAGCTTCTGCTAATGTTCCACAACAAAGCTCAACATCTAACAATAACAAACAGCCTACGAAATCTTCAACAAGGTCTGTATTTTTATATATATGTATATGTAATTTCCTACATTTGTCAGAGGCATTGTTTGAATTAGACTCTTAACTATCATCTCTGTCTTGCAGTTTTTCTGTTTTCAGCTTTTTTTAACTCAAAAGAAGTGTTCCCTTATAAATGTCTGTGAAAGAATTTAAGGTTAGAATTTTTAATCATACTTTATATATAATGTAGTATTTACTGTTAAATGTTTAGCTCTGCTAATATACTAATATAAAATATTTTCAACAGCTATGATATGACACCAGTAAAAGTAAAATCATATGCACCGATGAAGGATCCTGATAACTATGACATTGATGACAAGGAATCAGATGAATCAACGGATGATGAGGAGGATCCTAAGAAAGTAATTCCAAGTTGGGCATTAGGTATGTCATTCATTGAAACTTTTAGTGATTATTATGGAAGATGTTGGTAAGTAGATTTATTATGTATTAAACCATCAGTTTTCAAGAGGGCTTAAAAATGTTATGTAACAGTTAGGGTCAATGCTTTTATAAGACTGATAAAAGCAGTTACTAAGTCAATATATTGTTGAGGAGTTCTTCAAAGACAAGGGAATTCCATTTGATAGTGCTGATTGACAACACCAATGACTGGTTGTAGTGAATGTGTGTCTCCAACAGTTAAAAACAACTGATTACCTACTTAATTCATCATAATAACACCAATTTTGTGTATAGTTCTGAAATGCTTGCTATTCAAATTGATTTACATGGAAAGAAAATGTGAACTTTAAAAAAAAAATTTAAATCTCATCTCTACTATTGTATGAAAATAAACTATATCTAAGTAGAAAGCAAGTTATAGTTGGATAGAAGATGGGAGAAAACAAGATAATAATCAGAAACTATTTTGCCATGCAACTACTTGGAAATTCTACATAAGTATATATCTGAACAATTTGAGGATCTTAACATAATTAAACAACAATCCATCATCAGACCTGTTTACTCTTACGATTTTGGCGTACAATGTACGATTTTGAGATGTCTTTTACGATTGTACGCCGAGACCCGCCAAAACTACGATTTTCAGAGAGCCGGTGAAAAAAAAAATTTTCCGATTAAAATTCGTTTGTTGAAGTTTTAGCCTTTTCCAATAAAAATCTACAGGTGAATGAAACGAGAAAAACGATTGGTTGTAATTTTTTTTTAAAGTTGGGACCATCCTTCATTATATTTATGTGCGCGCTGAGAGGGGAGGTGGGGGTTGTTAATGAAGGAGATTTGCGGCATTTGTGTCACACTGAACTAGTTAGCTGCGTCACCGGTAATATTTATACTATTCACCGCCATCCCCTTTGACTGCTACCCAGCGTGTGACGTAGTTTTGTTCCCTTGAACCGCGGCGATGGTGAAAACTAGAGACGAGACGGTTTTTACAATCAAATACTTGATCCCACTGTTCTGCACTGGAATGTTGGACGTGGACATATTTGATAAGAGCTTGTCAGCGGCATTTAACAAATATTGGTAGAACTCGCAAAGCAGCTCTTGACCCTCAGCGCTTGTAATACGACAGTTTGGTATCACTACTAATACTGCCCCCCACCCCCACCCCTTTTTTTAAACGGAAAAAATCAGACGACAGCTCAATTTGTTTCCCTTATATTGAGTTGGGGGTGGGGGGTGGTTCTGCCCGGTGGAAATAATAACGTCACCAGCACGGAAAGACGAATTACTGGACTACAGTGTGTTATCACTATGTCATGTTCAATTTTACAACTACAGGGATCTCTTTATGAAAACACAAATCATTAGTAGCTTTTATGAGTAGGCCTATATGCTTACTGCGAAATATTGGAATATTTCTTATAGCCTTAATAATAATAATAATAAAAGGCCTTATTAGAATTCACGGATTTCACAGATTTTCAGATGACAGTTGGCTCTATAAGAGACTGTCAGGATAATTATTGTATGCTTAAATGTAGGTGCACTCTATTGACCCCTCATCAAATCTGTCATAGCATCCTCAGTGCGTATATAATACGTAATAGTTAGATGGTCCTTTGTTTTACGTTGACAAGGGGGAAGCCAGGGCGGTTGGAGGATCCTTTGTGAGGGAAATGTTGTATGGCTCAGCTCAACAGATGGAGTTGATAGCCAATTTACTAGCCGGGGTCATAAGAGAGTAATCTCAGACCCTCGCCAGAATATGTGTGTTAGTTAGTTAGTAGCAATCAGAGGCAAAATGAGTGGTGTGGATTTAGGAGATAGTGTGTATGGTGCGGGTCTAAATGTTTAAATCTATACAATCAACTCCGCCACCTACATTTTCGTAATGTCAGGGAGGGTGGATGGGGGGGGGGGGATATTCCTCGGCAGAAAGTACATGCTGTATTTAAAAATACTACACTATTCATCCCGAAACTCTTGAAAGTCCTAAAATAGCACAGTTATAGCTCGAATGCTGTAAAATACCAGACAATGTTTGCATGAATTACCGTCGTGATGTTGTCAAGATGTATTTTCACAAATGATCTCGCTGGCTATTTCTAAACTCAGTAGTAGAGAAATTACAGTAATCTTTAGTCCACCGAATGGTAAGGCCACGTGCTACATATAATTCGGTGGGCTACGCCAGTGGTTCTAAAATTTTCGTTTCCCTGCGCCTTTGCCACACTACGTTTTCACCAGGCTCCCTGTGTCGAATTCTAACATGTACAATTCGAAATAGCGAATACACAAATAAAATAAGGGTTGGATAAAAATAAATATAACGTGTATGTAGGTCACTGAGCGCCATCTGGAACTGCAAACAGCAATTTCTTAGTGAGTTACTGTTACGACCGAAAGTTGTCCCATTGGTTTAAAAGTGAAAATAAAATAATGCATTTTTAAAAATATTTCGCAACGCCCCGATGAGGAAGCCGCAGCCACCCCCTTGCCCAGGGCGATGTGGCGCTTATTCTGGGAACCACTGGGCTGACAGAATCACCAGTGGTAAAAACCCGTGTCACATTTTGTTGACTGTAACATCATAATATACAATGGATTTTGTTAAGTTTATGGGGGAGGGGGGGGGGCTGGGCTGGTGTTTTAAAGCTCACTGTACCATACACACAAAAAGGTGTGGGGGTCCCAATTCGTTACCGGGTAATTAATTCTTATTTACTTATTTTAATACATTTTATTTTATGCCCACCTGACGTCAAGTTTGAACAACGTTACATTTCACCGGTGACTTTATTTTTACCTGTGGCAGACTGGGATAATGTGATCAGCACGTTAACCCAAATATTAATTAATATATTGTACTAGCCGATACACGTCTGCAAAACAAAGTGACCGCAGTTTGCGGTTAACGTCAGTCATCTACCGTTAACCTTCAGTTCTATATTTTGACGCCGGCTTAACTCGATTCCACTGAACATGCTATAGGAGTAGTTATTGTATACATTATATATACTATATTTTTATTTATTTACTATCAAAATACTGCATTGTACGATTTTGAGACGATATTGTACGATTTTAGGAGTTTGGGGGTAAACAGGTCTGCATCATATACTAGGTAGAAACATTCTTTATCCGATCGGGATTAATAGCAAATCATGTATTAAATGGCTATTCAAGTGTTCCGTGTATCCTGGTTTCACCCAGATTTTTATTAGATTTGATTAGATTATTAATCGATTAGATTATTTTTAAATGAACTTTAACATTTTAAAAATTTATTGAAGTGTACCTATACCATTTTTAAAAAAAATAAAAATTCCTTTACTTTTTATCCTTAAACTTTAATATTGTAAATATATTTATTTTCCTCTTCAAAAAAAAACAAAACACAGGTATTCCACTAAACACAGCTCTGATCAGACAGTTCACAAACCCTCCAGATCTAGATGCCATTTTTAGATTTGATTGTATAGAGCCCCCTGATCTAGAAAAAGTTTTTGCTGGCACTAAAAAGAGGCGATACAAGGAGAGGACAAGCTCAGCAATCTGGAAATCTCCTGTGGGGGCTCATTAAATACAAAGTTGAGATGTTCAGCTGCTCCTGATGTTAAGACTTAAAGCTATTCACTCATGTGCACAGGAGTCACGTAAATCAACATTAATCAGCTGGGATATTCTTATAAATTGCATATTGATGTGAAGGTTAGATGTTATCTAACAACACTAATAGCTATAAAAGAGATATAAATATGTTAAATAGTCATTTATACTGATGGTAGGGGGCATAATTAGAATGCATGCTGATAAATAGTGCTTTTCAGATTTTTAATAAGTGCAGATATATAGCATTATGAAAGAAAAACCATGGCTACTCATAAATTTGCTGACCAAGCATAATTACCCTCTTAACCCTTAGTTAGAGCGCTTTTAGTACTATGCATTTTGGATGGTTATGTTTTTTAAGTAGAAAAATTTATCACTGAGCTATAAATTGTAGAGTTTAAATGATATAAAGAAATTTGACATTGTACAAAGAACGTTACATTTGATTTTATATTTATAAAGAAGCCAACTATAAATTAATTATTTTTTTTTAATAATTTCCTCTAAAAACTTAACAGTTTTAAAATTTTACATTTGTTTCAAATTGTTTGAATGTTCCTGGTACTCGTTATATTTGTCATTGACATGCCGGGAAAACTAATTTTGTACAGTTTTCCATAATTCTTATCCATTGGCTTGTAGTCATTGCCAAATAACACCTATCTTATGTGAGAACTGAAATGTTTTCAAAAATGTCATGTTGCAGAAGTCCTGATGGTGGTCTGTATTGTAAATAATAAATGCGCAAATGATCATTATGATTTTAATAACTTATTATATAACTATATTGCAACTTGTGTAAATAGATGGGAAGAATGCAAAGAGTTTCTTCTTGATGCTCACTGTTTCTATCATAACATTTGAGGAAGTATTTTTTTTTCTTTCTTTTAAAGCATTTTTGAATCAAACACAAGAACCTCCTGGGTCACGGATTGGTTGTAGGTAGAAAGTACTGCATGTAATATAAATACTCTTAAAGTTCATGATAAACTTGTTCCTAGTGTAAGTTCAAGGGAAAATATATCATAACAAGAAATAAAAGAAGATATTTTAGTAGTATGTTTTTTACATTTTGTTTAAAAGTAAATGTTGTGAGAACTTTTGTGTTGGACAATGTGAATGGAAGCAGGATTACATTGAAAAATGTAGTATATTGAAGTATTTTTTTTTTTTAAATATTTATATAAATTTGAATGAGCCTAAAGCCTTCAGTTACATGTTATTTTGTCTGTTTCTAATTTCATTAAATTTCAACATTTGATCTCATAGATTTTTAGAACTTCCTAAAATTTAATTGTTAGGTATAATATTGTAAAAGATTAGTTGAAAATCTCTCTAATGCCAGTAATCTGCACATGCTTGACACTGTTAAAATCCTTAATTTTTAATCATACTGGACAGGCTTGAATTTTGGCTGGTCACATTTCAACCCTACACATTCCTCTCCTATTTTTCTTTGATAAATATTAAAACATGTGACTCTGAAAATTCCTTTCTAATGGTTTCTGACCTGAGAAACAGATGCATCCTATTCATTACCATTCTCAATATTTCTAAATCTGTTTTTACTGTCTTTTTCTCTTTTCCAACATCATCTCTGAAAATTAAGGAAATGCGGTGGCTGTGAAAAATTCATGTAAAACCAGTTCTTAGTTGGCTTATAAAAATGATCTCCATTAAATTCAATGCACTGTCGAAGTCGAAAGGTTCAAAAGGATATTGTTAGGGAACTTCTTTCTGACTTAAAAAGTATAATACTGGTCTTTCAGAAATAGAATAATTTTGTGTGCATGTAAAAGAAGGGCATTGCCATTGATGAGCAACAGTAATTGTGTACATTTTGGATATCTTGTGTCAACAGTACATAGGATATGTTCATGGTTCACCCAATTATGACATATTCTTTACAAATTTAAAATATCTCAACATTGTTGACAAGGGAGCAGATTGTCTTCCATATTTTTTTAAATATCTTATTTTGTTATGTATTGGTATTATTCTTTTCACTGAAGTTTCTTTGACTTTGTGACTTTTAGACTGTTTAATAAGGTGTGTGTATATTGAAATATATACTTTATTCATGCATATAGATTTGATAAGTAGTTTCAAATATAGACACACATCTATCTCATGATTGTTGCTTTAATCTATGTCCATGCTCATTCAATAAATAACTGTCTGTTTTGAAAAGACTTACTTTTTATTTTTACTTTATTATTTTAAGTAACGGTACTTTAAAATAGTACCATACTAAGTTTGTCATCACCAAAAAACTAATCTGCTCTCACAGAAAAATTCAAAACTTAAAAGGATAATATATAAAGCTGTGTGAAATAAATAAAAATTGGAACAAGATATGTTTAGGCTTTGAAGAAAGTCAACAATTAAAAGGACACCAGATAAATTCCTTCTTCAGAAGACAATGCAAAACAAGAAATAAATAATTAGAAATAAATAAAAATTGAAAATGTTCCCATATCATAATGTAACTCTTTCAGTCTTTGTGTAGAATCAAAGGCACACTATAAAAGTAGAATTCAAGTTGTTCAAAACCAAAATAACCTCTCATGTAATTCTGGTGGGTACTGTCAAAGTAAAAGAATTAAAATATTAATTAATATTTGAAAAGAAATTGAGAATCACCAGTAAGAGAGCATTTGTTTCCATATGTGCCAAAAATCTGAATTAATATGTTTTCATTCTTGCTGGTAAATTAGAGCCTTTATGTTGGACTACTTTGAACAGTTTGGTTATTGACCTACAGCACAGTGCTATATCATTACCCCATGCTTGTGGAACAGGGGTCCCAAACAAAGAAAACACCACCACCCCCCCAATTTGTGATTCTAATTTTAGTGTCAATACCAAAATCTTTTCAACTTGATTTAACTAACAAGCCTGTTTTTGGCATTTCCAATCACATGTTCACCAACAATGTTTCAAATCTCATGTTCACCAACAATGTTTCAAATCTCATGTTCACCAGCAATGTTTCAAATCTCATGTTCACCAGCAATGTTTCAAATCTCATGTTCACCAACAATGTTTCAAATCTCATCTTCCACAACAATGTTTCAAATCTCATGTTCACCAACAATGTTTCAAATCTCATGTTCACCAAAGTTTCAAATCTCATCTTCACCAACAATGTTTCAAATCTCATGTTCACCAAAGTTTCAAATCTCATCTTCACCAACAATGTTTCAAATAAGTTCACCTATAATATTTCAAATATGTTCACCAACAATGTTTCAAATAAGTTTACCAACAATGTTTCAAATATGTTCACCAACAATATTTCAAATCACATGTTCACTACCTTATTTTATACAAAGTTGATGATTATGAAGTGGAAAAAGAGATTCTACTTTAGCTACATTGTGATTGGTTAATTTCTTTGTCTTTAACTGTTTCATCTAAGCACTGACTTGTCGTTGCCAAGGACAGTTGTACTGTTTGTCTCATCTAAGCACTGGCTTGTAGTTGCTAATGGCAGGTATACTGTTTGTCTCATCAGGGGAAGCTTTTTTTTTTTTTTGACAAAATTGTTTATTTATTTTGGCATCCTTCCGTCTACGTGAGACGTTGGAGTAGCTATATAGTTCTACACTTTGACGAGTGGCTCACCAGGCCAATCCTTGAATGGCAATCACGGCCGCATCTCTCGCAGGAGAATGTTGAAACCCGGTGTATTCTTGATTTTCGAATTGTTCTTTTTGATTCGAGGGCCTCGTTTCGATTATCTTCTGCCTTTTTCACTCCTCCAAACACTGCTGTACGCCAGTTGGAGCGATGTTCGGCAATGAACTCCCATTCGTTTGTTTCAATATTGGCTTCCCTCATGCTTCGTTTGCAAACGTCAATAAATCTCAGGTGCAGTCGTCCCTCATGCTTCGTTTGCAAACGTCAATAAATCTCAGGCGCAGTCGTCCAATATGTCTTGTACCCTCTGCCTACTCTCCATACAGCAGAGACTTTGGGATACGTCCTTCCTCCATTCTCCGTATATGACCTAACCAGCGAAGGCGTCTCTTGATAAGAAAGGAGAATATGCTAAACATGTGTGCACGTTCCAAGACCTCCACGTTAGGCACCCTGTCCTGCCAATGAATGCGCAAAATGCGACGCAGACATCTTTGATGGAAGCTGTTGAGTTTCCGCTCCTGACTGGTATATGTGGTCCACACTTGGCTGCCATATAGGAACGTGCTAAGCACACATGCCTGATAGACACTTATTTTTGTTTTATCAGTTAGATTGAGATTATTCCACACCCGCTTATTCAGTTTAGCCATAGTTGCTGCTGCTTTTGCAATCCTGATATTGATCTCTTCATCAACGGAGAGAGAACTAGAAATATTGGATCCCAGGTATATGAAATGATCAACAACCGAAAGATTATGACCCTCAATAGATATGATTGGACGGGACGGTGCTTCTTGCATCATTACATGAGTTTTCTGTAGACTAATCGAAAGACCAAACTCTTTACAACCATGTGATAGGCTATTAACTAGCCCCTGCAGACCTCTGTGTGAGATGTTAAGGCGGCATCGTCAGCGAACAGCAGTTCACGAATCAGCACCTTTTTTACTTTGGTCTTTGCACGAAGGCGGAAGATGTTGCACAGTCTTCCATCAGATCTTGTGTGGACGTACACTCCCTCTTCACAGTAACTGAAAGCAAATTGAAAAGAGCGTTGGTGCCAGTACACAACCCTGTTTTACTCCGCTGCTAACTGGAAATGACTCAGAGACAGTGCCATTGAAAGTTAATATGCTGTGCATGTTTTTGTGAAATGACTGTATTATTGTGAGCAGTCGTGGGGGACAACCTATTCTTTGCAGGATACTGAAAAGGCCTCTTCGACTTACCAAGTCAAATGCCTTGGTCAGGTCTATGAAGGCAATATAAAGAGGCATATGCTGTTCGCGACATTTTTCCTGCATTTGGCGTAGCGAAAATATCATGTCTATTGTTGAGCGCCCACACTTCGACTTACCAAGTCAAATGCCTTGGTCAGGTCTATGAAGGCAATATAAAGAGGCATATGCTGTTCGCGACATTTTTCCTGCATTTGGCGTAGCGAAAATATCATGTCTATTGTTGAGCGCCCACTCCTGAAGCCACACTGGGACTCTGGGTAGATGCGGTTCGCAAGGCTCTGCAATCGTTTAAGGGCAACCCGGGCAAAAGTCTTTCCAACTAAGCTAAGGAGAGAAATACCTCGGTAGTTATTGCAATCGCTTCGGTCCCCTTTATTTTTATACAATGTTACGATGTCGGCATCTCTCATATCCTGGGGAATGTGACCTGTTTCCCAACACAGAGGAGCTCATGTAAGGGCTGAAGTAGGATAGGTTTTCCATTTTTTAGGATTTCCGCTGGGATGCCGTCGATCCCTGGAGCCTTCCCATCCGCAAGGTAATCGATGGCTTTTTCGAGCTCCTGTAAAGTTGGCTCTTCATCCAGTTCATTCATTACTGATAAGGCAGGAATATTATGGAGAGCGGTCTCA